CCGCGACTCCGGCACGATACGATCTTTCGGTTTGGAGGTTCGGTGAAAGCGTGTATGCGATGAATTAAGTTTTATCCTGTAACCTGTCGAGGCTGAACGAAATTATTGCTCGTTATATCGACACTTTCAAACGCGACGTTTCGTTTTCTGATTTTACCGATCGAATTCTCTTGGGAATATAATCGCGTAGTTTAAACGTAGAACCGAGCGAGGATCGTGCTGCGATTCACTGTTCGTTATCTTCCTATTACCAGAATTATTTATGTTTGTTTATCGTCCACGTCACATATCAGTTATTCTGCAGAAACGGGTTCTCTTATTTTTTTAGGTGTCGCAGCGCTTTTGAATTAGCAACGTATTACATCAGGATTCGTAAACTGTCTTTAGATATTTTTAAAAATGTTATACAGCAATAAAAAAGTCGTATAGTGAATTTAAATCATTTTTACTTCACCTTTGCTATTTTATTTAATGAAGTGACATAGCAATTGATAAACTGTCTTAGGATATTTTGGGCATTTTTAAAAATGTTACACAGCAATGAAAAAGTACAGTGAAATTAAACCATTTTTATTTGACCTTTGCTATTTTATTGAATGAAGTCACACTGCAGTTGATAAAGTATCTCCGGATATGTTAGATATTTTTAAAAATGTTAGATTGCAATAAGAAATTCGTCATGCAGTAAAATCATATCGTTTTTATGTCACATTTGGACTCTTATCTTGTGATGTTATATTACAATTGATAAACTGTTTTCAGATGTATTGAACATTTCTAAAAATGTTTTATTCCAATAAAAATATTCTTTCCCTGCAAAATCAAATCGTTTTTATTTTACATTTGGATTCCTATCTCGTACATTGCAATTGATAAACTATCTTAGTATACATTGGGCATTTTTAAATATGTTAATTTGCAATGAAAAGCGTCATGCAATGAAATCCAACCGATTTTATTTCGCAATCGGATTGCAGTTTCGTGTCGTTACATTGCGGCTGATAAACAGATCCGCAAATAGAAAAGTGAAGTGAAGTGAAGGCTGGTAATTTTATCAGTCTACTTCGATCTGTCGTCTCTTCCGATGGGAATCTATTATCTGTTACCTCGTGCTTCTCTTCTCGGCTGCATCGTTTCCGGTGGAAAATCACGATTCCATCGTCCCGTTGATCCGCGCACCTGGAATTCTCTCGGATCTTCGAGCGTCGGTGTCGGTGACCTTTGAATCACGCCTCCGGCCTCCGACGATGCTTAAACGTAAACGAAAGCGGAAAAGAAATGAAGCACAAGGGAAAGAATCGCGCTCGTTTTCCAAGCTAGCAAACAATTCACCTTCTTTTGTCGCCTTTCTCCAGCTGACACTTAAACACGTGCGAATAGTCTCGGTTAGTTCTATTATATTTAAGTACCAATTGATTAGCGAAATTTGTATACCGGTTTTATTAGATTTTTAGTCATTTTACAAGCAGTTGTTTGATCAATTTCATCTATAGGTCATTTCCGTAAAGGAAACAATAAGGTTTTGTTATAAAACAATTGTCCAAAATCCCATTGGAATAGAACTTCTGTGGTTTATCGGTTAAAAACTTGGCATCTTTAGCATTGAAATTTCTAGAACGGAAGCGAACAAACCATCTACATGCTGTTGCATATAATAAAGCATCTTCACCGTAAACACCACCAATTTTTTCCCCAGCTTGTGCAACGTTTTTGCCTTTTTCATAATAAAATTGCAAAGCATAGCGAATTTCTTCAGACATTTTACTCACTTTCACACTAATATTACTGTTGACACGATTGACGAGATAAAAAAGTGTCTTTATAAAAATATGAAATTTTTCATTCCTCTCAGTTACATTTTAATGAAATGACAAATGGTTTAAGTTTAAGCGATAGGCGGTTGGGTTTACATGTTCGAATGCGGCGAGCTAATTGCTCGTCCTCGGGCGTGAACGCGTGCGTAAACTGCACGCGTCGAGAGAAAAAGAGAGAGAGAGAGAGAGAGAGAGAGAGAGAGAGAGAGAGAGGAAGGCTGGGAGTGGCCGTAGCTCGTTCTCCTGTCACCCCGCACTATGTTTACGTACATGCATACAGCTTCGGTTAAAAGAGTTACGACGAGCTTTAGCCATAGGGGGAGATCGTAAGCCCGGAAGGAAGTGGAAAATATTAACGTTTCTTCGCGGGAACAAAGGGGAGCTCTCCCTTTGCGCTATGATCGATGAGAAACGCCGCAGATGGGGACTCACCGCCACTGAATTTTTAAATCCTTAAAACGTCCCGCGCTCCTCTAAAATTAATCAAACCAAAATACTCTGTCCGGTGAAAACGTTCTAAAAATGAAAAGCAGAGAATAGTTTTCTATGTTATTTCATTAAATATAGTGTATCTAAGGGTGCATACGCTAGTACAGCTAGTAACGATTATTTTTTATTTATTTATTAACTATGTCAAAATCCAACATTATGGATGCCAGGCCGAGCATTAAAAAAACAAGATGTACACTTCTAACTCGTTTTGAATTTTGTTCCCCTAGAAAAAATTAACATAAGTCCGAGCTGGCTCAGATTGATTGTTACTAGTTTGTACATGCTCAAATAGGATGCATGTAGTTGTTATGTCGTTTTAGATATTTCATTGCTAGTATAGTAGCATTTTAGATATTGAACTTCTATACATTATTGTCTATCGTTATTTGAATTTTAAATATCAAAGGGGTAGTACATGCTCGAGTACCATGGCTGTACTTATGTATTTGATTGCTAATATAGCAACATTTTGGAAATTGAACTTTCATACATTATCATCTGCGGTTATTTAATTACATGTTATGTATCAGAGGGGTAGTACATGTGCGAGTAACCCTGACTGTAGGTAGCAATTAAATCGTTCGGCCTCGGGAGGGAGCCTCGACAGCAGATTGTAATCTTCTTTTCGCGGTAAGAGGTCGAGGATCTCGAGGAAATCTGTCAGGTTGCACCTGTGCACAATGTTCGGCCGTAGCCTCAAAGTGACAAAAGGTGTCCTAGAAAACGTGCTTACATAATGGTGACCCCCGGGTAGGTTCTCGCGCCTATTTCGTCGACCGTACCCGTTGTCTCCGGTGCTCTACATGCATGTAGATATATGCCGAAAGAACGGAACCGGCGATGTATGGAAAAAGTAGGCTAAAAGCGGGTGTTCGTTACACGCCACTTGCCTCTACCCCTTCTTTTTCGGGCCACCCTCCCAAACTAAATCTTGTGAACGTCGATAAGAACGTCCTAGAAACACGAATTTGTCTCGTGTGCACAGATAAATACAAAGTCCTACCTAAGTGTGACTTTTTTTATCTCTGGGAACTAAGAGTTATCTCGCTTGGAACCAGTGAAACGATTAATGCACGGATAGCGATGTTCCAGATTACTGTAATATGATCTGGGACCGAGTATCTCTGCAATCACTCTTTTTCTTTCAAGTGCTCTTCTTCTTGTATATTCTAACTTTTTGGTAAAACGTAACGGCAACACCAGGTTTTACGATTTGTGAGACCCCTCGGCGGTTCCGAAGGAAAACTGTATCAACTTTGAATTTTTCTAATCATAGAATGATTAAAGGTGTTACGCATTTAAGTGATGAAACTATCGCACTGTACTTTCGCTCACTTTCACTCTCTTTTTCCTCGTTCCAGATACTAGCGTCAAACGACAATAACGGGATTGTGTTCCCTTCCGGTACAGCCTAGCTCCATGCGATCAACGTTAATTACCCGCGTTAGCGTATCGTAAAACGAAAGGCGGTTAAAAATTGATGGGTTGCTCGGTTTTCATAGCATCCTTGGAGAGCCTCGGCCGCTGATATCGGAAACGGAAGTCGCCGCGATAAGCCGTCGATAACGTGGACCGGAATATGTGAAAAATCATTTTAAAACCTCGTAAAACGTGCGAGTTGATGGGAAAATAAATGTTATTCAAATTGCAGAATGATCGGCATCTACTGCGATCGTTAACGAGTCGCCAGAAATTCTGCGACGAGTATCGCGGTGAAATCATCGATGACGAATCATGAGAGAAACGGTCTGCATAACGAGGTTCGACTTTCGATTCTTCATTCGTTTTGGGGCGAGTGCGAGACTCGTTTCCTCGCGAGATAAATAACAGACGTTTAATGACTCACTTTGCATCATTGAGAATAATATCCTCTTGTGTTAAATTCTCCCCTAATTGATGGGACGGCATTGAGATAGATGTACCACGTGCATTAACTTGTTATTTAATTAGTTCATCAAAGCGTAGGATGGAGATTATTAAATCAATTTATCTTCGTAGTTTACAAGCTTTATGATAAGATCAATTACTAGTGCAGTGGTAATTTTCCAGAATCATGGGACACTTACAATTTTACAATGTTTTTGCAGGATAGAGTCGTAAAATAAGATCTAAGAAGAAAATCAGAATCTCTGTCAATTTTAATATCTTCTACATTTTTTTTTATAGATCATTTAGTAAACTAATCCAGTCAATAAAATTCATATCATTGATTTTGAAAAAGTTATTCAGTTCTAAATGATGTTGGTTCCGTTTTGCTCTTTACTGTGTGTATATGATCGTGAAATGAAGAGAGATGCGAATTATCTCCGTGGTCTCATTTTGCCAAGTAGTAAGTACGTAGATAGAAGGTTTAATTTATCAAAACGAGGTAAAAGCTGACATCGCCGTTCTCATCGCGAGTGGTAGGAACAATGGAGCTCGTTCTCCTGCATAGACAATACAAAGGAGGCCTGAAAATTCGTATCACCCCGCGATCTTTCGTGCTCCCGGCAATCTTTTCCTCGCAACACTCGAATTATCCGGAAAATTCTCGAGGAAATCTCCGTGACGGAAACCGCGATTACGTCTGTTAGTGGAACATGAATTAGCATGCGACCGTGCTTGAGGCGGAACGCGTGTAGAATATGAATTCCTTCACCCGCGATAACTGTAGCCAAGTTCATCCGTTAATCGAGCGTTATATCCGTGTTTCAGGTGATCGGTAACGGCGAAACGGACAGCTGTGACGGTTTAACAAACGGTGAGTCATCTCCTTTTATTCTCTTTTTTTTTTTTCTCCGTTATCATTCTTATAAAGAGCTCTAAATGGCTATAAAGACCGGCGCGTTGGATCCCGAGGATAGAGTAGCGTCGGACCGCTTTGGTTTCATTGACCAAATCCTCTGGTGTAAACCCCGTCCCCCAATTTTCTATACGCTTATCCCAACCCTCTGCGTGTCGCTCCTTGTTAGCCTCGACGTACGCATGTACGTGTACCAGACTTTGAAGTCTGACTAATTTTATTCCTTTCTCCTCCCTTATTTCCTTCAAATAAAAACTTCACCGTTGCGGAAACTGAATACTTTCGCTGATAAACAATAAACATTTTATCACTAATATGAAAAATGTAAGAGAAATCCATGGAATATGTAAAAAGAACGAGACTATGTTAAAACAACTCGGAAAATGGCCAGTCGATACGTCCTGGAAAATAGTCAAGTCTCAGACTGAAGACACAGCTTCGAAGGACTAATCTATGGCACTCTTAAAGTATTTCTTCCTTTACTTCTCTTTCTCATTCCCTTACAGACAGTTTATAAGAATAGACGTGATGTTGATGTGATTTAATTTGGTAAGAAGGATCGGTGAAAGCGATGAGTTACAGTTACGGCCCTGACTTTGCCCTTCGTTGATTATTATCCGTCGGGGCCCGAGCGAGCGGGGCGGTTGCCGCATTTTCTCACGCTACTTCAGCTGCTCCTTGTTCGCGGCGTGCCGCGGTGCAATGATCTCCCTCTCGTCTGCCCGCACATCTGCCTCGAAATTACATCCTGATCAGGTCCACGTTTTATTTTTTTATCTCGCTTTACCCCTTGCCCGGCTCATCTCGCCAGTTCAGATACTTTAGCAAGTACCCAACAATAAGTAAACCACGAGTATGAGTTGCGAACTTTTTAAAATCGGGTAATTTCTACCATCGAGGTATTAAAAATCTTGTTGAACAACAAGGGAGAATACATTATTGATTAATTAGTTGTTAATTTTTATTGACAAATAAACTTGTAAAAAATTTTAAAAAACGGCAGGAACTTCCAAATAAAAATATCAATAGTGAAATATAAAAAATTATAGCGGCCTCCTTTATTACTGCCTAATTTAAATGTGGCCTCTAATGATAAAAAGGTTCCCCCTCCTCTGCTATATGCTATTGCTATTGAAATTATTCATAATTTATTGTATCATCATTTTATGATAACGATTGGTACGCTTTCGTCCTCGAGAAAAGTGGATCCTCTGTTAAATTTACTTTCGCGACTAATCGCTTTCGAAGCTTTTCAGCTGCTCCAATTGATCGTTAGCTTAATGCATGAGAAAGCAGTCTTTAACTGACCGAGTTTTTAAAGAAAATTAGAAGGCATGATTTGGGGAAATTATAATCTTTCCTTTCGTTTGTAATTTCCTTAAGTAGGATCGATCGTTCGATCGAAACGCGAGGTGAAACAGGAACTACTCTGATCTAGCTTCCGTGTTCCGAGGCAATCGACGTTACCATAAATCTCTTGAGATACTCTTGGAATAAATTTGCAAACGTGATTATTCAGGCCAAGGCGTTTCTAAGTTCGCTTCCGTGTACTAAACAATTGCTTAGAAAATTCATAACGTCGATTAGGCCTATCACGTTTTGATTGTAAGAAATTATAAAATTGTATTAGTGACGAAATAAAATCGTACGGATTAAGAAATCCGATTAGAATTTAATTAAAGCTAATTGGATGTACGAAGATGGGTAGCCCATTTGGCGTTGCTTTTTAAACGAGTTACAAAATATGGTAGGATCGAGTAGATCGAGTAGAAAATGAGTTTACAAGCTGTTTTCTCGCTTTCATTTCTTGGCAGCTTTCGCCGTACCCGGAGACTCGGCCAATTCGTAAAACAGTGAAATTCACTTTTCGTTTGTCATTTGAAACATTTTTCTTATCTCAGAAAATGTAGAAGTTATTTAGGTGGCTCGCTGTAGGCGAATCACTGTGTATACGCACAGTTTAGAAATGAGAATAATGCGATTGGTAATACGACTTAAAGTAAGTGGAATAAGAAGGGAACTCGAGAAACGTGACTTGGAATAATTTCATTTTATGCACAGTTTAGAAATTAGGATAATGCAATTGATAATACGGTTTAAAATGAGTGGAATAAGAAAAGGAACTCGAGAAACGTGACTTAGAATAATTTCAATTTAACGTACGCGGGGTCTATCGATGATCACCGAACGCATGAAATTTACCGTGACTCACTTTCGCAATCTTCCTTCCAGCGAGCATTTTTCCACGTGTCAATAGGTCACGGCACTCGCTCCCACACGACTAACTCAAGTAGTAAAAAGGACACGAGACACTGAATTACGCAACACCGCGACATCGCGACGCCGTCCATTCTTTTAGAATGATTGTTCCCAGTTGCTAGGAAACGAAGGACATCAGAGAATTTATAAGAAAACTCCGATATAATTTGGTATGTGTTCTACGGATTGCCTCAGCCCTGGTCTTTTCTCTTTCATTCTTTCCTTCCCCCCGCCCCTAATTAGCCGTCTTTGTTACCCTTCTCTTTGCTTCTTCCTTACTACTACCAGCATCGTCAATTGCTTTAATTGCCTTTAACATTTCAAAATTGTTTATTTCATTCTTAAAATCCTTCACTACATCTAAGTTCCTTAAGTTTAATTTGCTAGTCCATATTTTCGTTTCCTCACATATAAGCAATAAACGTTGCCACCAAATATTTAAATAATATAATGTCTGTGCGGATCACAGAAATAATTTCGCGGGCTTCAAATTAGGCAGCGCTAATTAGAATAAACCCAACGTTGTTAAGACATGAAAAAAAGGTTTGAAATAAATTAGACAGTGGCGATTCATAAAGTAGACACTATGAAGTTGTAGCTAGCACGTTTTTGCGGCGCGCAACTTGCTCGCTCGGGATTGATTTATCGCGTTCGACCGCGCTATGCTGGATCACCGTGAAGAAGCAGATCTTCACGGTGATTAAATCGGGAAACGATAGGAAACAGGTTTCGGGAATTCTCAGGCACTGTAAAACAGTGCCGGAAGAAACGACTGTGTTCCTGCTGCTCGTAAATCTCGCGAGCCATATCCGATAGCTTCCTGACCGCTATTCGCCGCGACTAGGTTTCTAGAGACTCTCAAAGTTCGCAAGAAAATGTACGACGCGTGTAACGCCGTATTTTGTAATCGCCGACAACTTTCCAAGGTGGAATCGACGAGCTGCAGGAAATGAAACCGTCCATACTTTCTTTCCGATCGGCAATTATTCATTATTAATGCGTTCAGTTGGAGAATTCGGTGAGAACATCGTTTACGTCACCTCGAGGGCACAAAAGGATAGGTGTACGCGGCGTGCCGCCGCATCGGATACCACTGCGCACTCCTCTATCCGATTATACGTACCAGCTATGCGAAGCCCCACGCAAAAGTATATAGATAGAAGCGTAGAAGTCGGCTGTTTGATACGGCTCCGTGCCCGGAAATGCTTCAGTGCGATCCGACGCGATGTGCGAGGAGGGTTCCGTCAGGGAGAGAATCGCCTTTTTGGAGGGTGAATAAAACGTCGACCGCACGAACCCCGTCCCCTCGTCGCCGCTCCTTACCGTCGTTAAACGCTTCTTCTTTCAACGCTAGAGACTTCGGTTAAACGTGCCTCTCAAAACCGTCCCCCTTCCCTATTGTCCTCGGGATTTTTCGCAACGGATGTCTACCGAAAAGTTTGTAAACCACTGCGGCGTCCTCGTCTTAAAATACTCGTTCGACCACCCGTTGCGATAACCGTGAGCTCTGTTTATGCTTTGCCGGCGTGTTGTGACTTTTCTAAAGTGGCTCTCTCCCTTGGCCAGACTATAAACACCTTACGCGTTGTTCATTCTCGTGCAGCTTAGTTTATTTGTTCTTTCGTTTGCCTTTTTTTAGGAAAGAAGATGGCACCGGTGTTGGGTGTTCCGCCGCCGCCTCCACCTGCCCCACACATGGGACCAGACGGGCTGATCTTGCCGAGAAAACCGTACAATCCTTACCTCACCTCTAGCAATCACAAAGACCTTCGCAGGGAATTATTATTCAATCAGAAAGTGTAAGAGACAGTTTCATAATTAGACTGCGGATTTTATTCATTTATGGAAAAATTAATATGCAAAAGTCCAGAGAACATAAAATGTGTAATCTACCATGTGAAAATCCACAGTTTATTCATAATACAAATTTTCATTAAGATTTGTCTAACAAATAATTATCGAAAGTTGTTATTTTAGAGTAATTGACAGAAATTATTGATCTTAACTCTCTCACGATTCATCGAGAAAATCGTTTCCTGCCGGCAATGCGAGGTATGGACACTCTCGTGACTCATTCCCAGCCACTTGTACGGTTTAAGTTTAAGCCGGGCCGCTATTCAATTGAAACGCTGTTCGCGCGGGTTTTTCTCATGCGGCGCGTGCGGCCGAACCACGAGCCGCACGCCTCGACACGTAATTAGCTAACCGCATCGGTTTTCACTTTCTTTCAGCGGCAAGAACGTGCTGAATCAGAAGAGCGAGCTCCAGCGAGCGCTCGAGAAGCACAGGGAGGCTGTCTCCAGGAAAGAAGCTGAAAGAAACCGAGAAGAGAACTTCAAAGACGATCCGAGATCCGCGTTGCAAAGGGCCATCGAGCAGAGGGCGAAGCACATCGAGATGACAGTCAGTGTCCCTTCGAGACTCTTGCTTTTATCTAGAAAACACTGAGGAACAAAGTAGAAGACTCTAAAACTGCTGGAACCTGGCAAACGCTAACGTCTTTGATTCTTCTTCGTGTTACAGTTGGAGCAATCGCAACCGACGACGGAACCACCGAGCAATCTTTTGATAACGGCGAGAGCGAAGCTGAGACCGCGCACAGACTCCCAATGAAGTTACGAGAGATTAAGAAAAAAGAGAGCTCGATCGTGTGACGCGCGACGGTACACCGTCGTGTAAAGAAAAAGGCAACCAAAACTGTTGCCCCACGAACTTTCACCCAATTTCCTAACCGCTGACCCTGTATATAATATATCTATTCCTGATAACATTTCCTTAGAAACAAAAGAGTTGCGAAATTCGTCTTTGACGCTGATGAAACCATCGACGGATTTCGCGTAGAAGATAATTGCCTTACTCTTCCGGTCGGAGACGGTTGCCTTTCATCTCCTGTGCAACGTTAGGTCAGGGTTAGATGATTCGTGTAAGCTAGTATTCGTTGGATATCCGAAAATCTGCGGTAACTCGGAAGCAATTGATGTTGGTGTGCGTGTATCGAGTCGTCGCGAGAGCGATAACGGGTCAAGGCGAGGTCGACTTGCCTATCGTGCCTGAAAGACGTGCTGCGTCCTCGTCGTTTCGCCTAGTTATCCAAAAAGGAATAAAGTCGAGGTTCGCGACAAATACGTAGATCTTCTAGATGAGATGTTAGGCTTGTTTGAAATCGCCGAGTCGATACTATTTTGTTACGTGCTCGCGCTTCCTCAAAGTGTCCTCGTGCAAAGGTGAAATTAATGTAAGAGGTCAGTTATGAATAATTAGACAAGGATCCGAACGTAATGTGCAACGCTAAGTGTCCGACGTTAGCTTACATCGTGCCTGACTATACTAATTGTAAGAATTTACTTACAAGAATAACGGAGTACAGATTAGTTTTGCCACAATAGACGGAACGATAGAATTCAGTATCCCTGGGACCATCGTAGCTAACGGTTACAATGAAAGATATTCGATAGGTTGATATAGCAGCATTTATTACACCCCAGTGTTTATAGTTGAGAAAATGAATGAAATATACATTCTTATAATGTATATTGTTGCACTATATGTACTGTTCGAAACAACATGTTCGCGTTGATTGTGATCGTTCGATGTAGCAGGTTCTCTATTGGTAACGATGCATTTTAAACTACATTCTATCACATCGAAAACGTAATGATGATGGTACTTGGAAAAGTAACGCTAAATTCCAATCGGTGCGGAAACCAATCGTAATTTTAGAACTATCGTCACATTTGTACAATTCAAATATCAAATATATTTTATTCAACACCATTGTTCAATCATTTCCAGGAAAATAACAGTAATAGAATTAAAACCGTAAAACATTCTTCCTGATATTGTATACAAAGACAAAATTAAATGACATGCAGCGACTCCTATTAATATTCACATTTCGAAATGGAACAACTTTTTTAATTTTCTGTGAAATATTACAAGGCTTAATTTACTACATAATGTGTAACATAAAATTTTAAAAAGTGACAATAACAACTTAACATTAATCGTTCCGGCAGTTTTTATACATTAATGTGCTGTATTTATATTTTTTACATTTGAGGGCAATTTAGTGTCGGGACTGGTACTTCAATTTAGTACCGTCTTAAATAATAATTACAAGTTTAACAATACGATAAAACAATTTTCGTTTTCCTCTTATTTTTTATAAAAGAATTTAAAAAGGATCATTTGGGCCGTGCGTGGTAGGTTTAATATCAAAAAACTTATTCTATTTTAAAGTGTGGCCGAATATTAATGGAAGTCACTGTATCCGTGATCGATAAAATGCACCGGTTTAAGGAAAAGCAATAAACATTATGTAATTAAATTTTGTGTTAATTATGAATTAACATTTATCATCAACGTGAGCTTACACATCGACTTGTACATTCCCAGGTGAAGGGTACACAGTGCATTTGCACTAATTTGTATTTGAATACGTGTATATGTATGTCTGTGTGCAACGCGATCCAACGTTTTTTAATAGTCGTCCCCGCGAGAAATAACTTCTTTACATGTCGGACGTAGAACAAGGGTGTGCTCGAACTGAGCAGTGTAACATCCCTTGATGTCGACCAAAGGCGGGTAAGCTTCCACCGCACCATTGTCGCACAGATTCTTCAGAGCCATTTGATACTTGGTACACCCAATGCGGTCCAACCATCGTTTACAGAAAGCCAAAGTACCTGGAAGAAAAATCAACCATCGTTCATAGTTTGCTAACAAGTAAATTTCAAAGCCGTCGATACCCACCGAAATGCTTGTTGATAACGTTCAGCAGAGCCTTGCTGCTCTGCAATCTTAGCGGAACGAATCCGGCATCGAAGCTCTTCATGTAATGAGAGCAATCTAAATCGTCATGTACAATTCCCCTTCCGGTGGATCCAAAAGTTTCAATAGCGTAGAACTCGTTCTCCTCCATTCTAGTAGCTTCGCCACCTTTGACGATCGGCACGGTCTTCCCAGCGTGGATGCGGTAAGGAGCGATCGAATGACCATTCAGATTTCTTATTGATTTAACCTAGGAAACAATATTCAATGACAACAGCTCACGATGTGTATGAGATACTCATTTGATTCCGTGCCCACTGCGCACGTAACGTGGAAAGTGTGGCATGTTCTCACTCTTATCTTTAACGCTGCTTGGACCTATGTGAATGTGCCACGTTTTCTGCATACGTACGAAATGAGTTAGAAATTTAATGAGCCACCTGTACATACAAACTCTAACGAAACGTACTTGATAAGTCTTGCCATCCAATTCAACTTCGTACGATTCCATGACTTCTTGAATGGCGGCTCCAACATCACAGAGTTGAACATCAATACCAGCAGCTTTGATTCCCGTGTTCGTAGCGTCGCGAACAGCTTCGATCAGCTTGTCGTACTTTGGATTGAACGCCAATGTGAACGCGCAATCGATGATACGCCCGTTGATGTGCGTGCCGAAATCGATCTTGGTAACATCGTCGTACTCCAAAACAGTCGGATCCCCGGCGTTAGGAGTGTAATGCGCCGCGCAATGATTTCTTGAACAACCAGTTGGGAACGCCAACCCGGCTTTCAATCCGTCCTCGCCTATCAGTTTCCTAGACGTGTTTTCGAGCTCGTTGCAAATCTCTATCATAGTCATTCCAGGTTTTACCTGAAATTATTTATTTATTTATTATTACGGGCGAATGCCGTTTTATACCAGGATTGGTTACAGAACAGTAAGTTGATATTGTTACAAAGATCTAAATGAGAAGTGCGAGAGAACGAAGTGCGTATGTTGCTAGTAAAAACTGTAGTATAAATGTGTCATGATATTGAGTACATTGTGTAAGTTTGTATCTGAAAGCAAGAATAAATACAAATGTCACTGCCAGGACGGGAACAGGCCCATCACAATCAAATCAGATATATGGAATCGTTTTGTGATTAAGAATGATTTACAATAAAGTAGAATAATAATTTTCTTAAAGAAGTCCTCTCATTTGATTTGCTGTTTTATACACGCACCCATTTCATAATATGTTTTCTCGTTTGTCGATGAGCTTCGGCAGCCTGTCTTGCCTCGTTGTACATATCATTCTGCATTCTATCGAGAGCACGAGCTTCTGCGCTTGTGAATCGTTCCTTAGCTGTTCTATCATCTATCCCAGTTGCAGGTGGATGATCCATTATTTGCCCGACCGGAAAGTTTCCATCCGGGAATAATTCCGCAACGGGTATGGTCGGAGGATCTGTTTGCTGTTTCAATCCTTTGCCACGTTTGTTACGTTTCTTCTTTTTCTTCTTAGTTTCCTCTGTCTCTGCATCATTTTCTGTTGGCTCCTCACTTGCGGCGTTATCACCATTCTCGGCCTTCTCATCCTCTCCTTCGGGGACATCAGCACTAGCCTCGCCAGCTCCTAAACGCGATTCATATACGTACTACACCGATGTAACAAAATTATAAATAAAACAGTTTGACTTTTTGATTAGTTGCGATAAGCACGATGAAACTTTCCAAGTATGTTAAATAGAGACACGAGAACAGGCAACAGAGACAGGTGCAAATTACTTCCACGTTGTGCCGCCGGAACATCTCGTAAATAATTTCTGTTGGCGACTAATTATCGTGTTGAGGGGTTAAACAAAAATCGGTGAAGCAAACAAATGGTAGGTCCGCGAAAAGTTGAAGATAATTTGTAAACCTCGTGCGAACACGGACATACGTGTAACCTGTGTTCTCACGAGTAACCATACCTGCTTGCTGCTTCTTCTTCTTCTTCTTTTTCTTCTTCGATGCTTTTACCGCGCTAGGTTCATCCTCCTCGTCTACGATCTCGTTCTTTTCCTCGTTCACCAGTTTCTCGGCGGACTTGCCGACTTCATCCAACACAGCAGCCATTTCGAGAGGAAGAAGCCAAACAATTTTCAGTGCTGCTGAACTGCTGAACACTAAACGCTGAACCTAAACGGACCGGTCACGGTCACTTATCTCTCGATAGATGGCTCACAAGTTGAAATCATCATAGTTTCTCACTGGTACTCGTTTTCGACGTCAGTTTCTATATAAGCACTAAATAAGCAAGTGTTGGACGTAGGGCCATGAGGGGGTAGGTCTTGTCTATAAGACGAGTACACCTACTGCGGATTTGTAACCTAACCTAACTATATTATCTTTACGTGGTTTGGTCAAGCTTCTCCTTCCACTGCCAAAATGCGTAGAAGTATTCTCATGGCTCATATTTTTGAACTTGTAAGACATGAAAATTTATATTTGTATACTGGTTGTATTACTATTTTACTCGAAGACTACATTATAATTTTTAAGTCAGGGAGCAGAATAAAATGAGGACGAGTGTTATATTTATTATGGAGAGATGATAAAATGTGGATAAATGGAAATATAAAAACGTAGGCAGTTTTATTTAAACAATCGCTTTTAATCGTATGTACAAAGTATTACATAGAAATAGGGATTTAGCAAAAGTCCCTTCTTACAATGTTTCTCTCATAAAATTATACTTATTGTAATACTAAAAATAAAAAGTTCTTAGTACAGAGGATAATCGGCTCTGATGGGAGGAATAGTTCATTCGATACGCGATACGTCTGTGTGCATAGTCGGTCTAATTTATCCTACAGAAGAGATAATTAAGTCTACAATCTCCGGGTCTTGAGACAAGACCGAAAGGTGCATCGTAACTTGGCTACCCGATAACGCTAATCTCGCTCGAGCCAGGATCTCTTTTCCTCCTCGAAAGATTCCGCTCAGTAGCAGAGTGTGCGAGGTGGCACCAGGCTTTATTCCTCGATTTGTTCGCTCGACAGCTTCCAAACCTAGAAATCCCATAAGGCTTTGAATAGCTCCTTCTAGACTCGTAACGGATGGACCCAACGCGAACGTCTCCTCCAGATTAGTAAGACCCTTCGCTGCGGCCGCTTCCCATGCGGCACTGAAATCCAGTTCCCTGTTCCAGATTCCACGAATTTGATCGGCCAAAGTCACTTCCAAATCTTCCAGCTGAATGTAAAGACAATTTTAATGGATACAAGAACTATTACTATACTGTAGAATTTTATACAAAATGAAACTTCAGAGATGTCCATTTAAAAAATGAATGAATGTTCTTGTATATTACGTGCATTCTTCATGATTCTTGAATATCAAAACTTTCTCTAAGTGGACGAAATCCGCAGTCTGTTACTTTCTTTAGTTAAGTTATCCACGTACCATATATTCGTCATTATATCCTTGATCAGCGTCTGGGATGCCCGTCGCTGGATCGCAGTCGCGGGCCATAAACTTCAGTGTTGTAGCAAGAGTAGCGACGCTAGCGCGAACGTCTGCCGGGTAACGTAATACTGTGTAAGTTGTGCCTGGTTCATTGTACGGTAAACGCGGGCATGGGACCTCGAACAAGATTGTGTAACTAGAAAAATAAAATAGTGAAAAAAGAAAGTTAATCGGAAATGTAGCAGCGAGATGTAATTTACCTTTCTGATTCGACAGCAACTCTCACGTCTTCGAGAAGTTGATCGGAAAGAGTGTTCACGCAATCGAACTGCAGGATGAGGAAGTCCGTGAACGTGTGTTTAATACATTTCACGTTATACTCGGTTTCGGACTCGGTCAACTCGAAAACGGGCGATGACTTGAGTAACAAGGAATCGCGAGTGATCACCGCCAAATGCGGTATTTGCGAGAATTTCTCCATGAAACTTTCCTCTCTCGTTAATCGAGGCTGTGGTTTCACGGTCGCGTGAACTTCTATTTGCGGTGGTTCTTCAATCATTTGGGCAGGAGGAACCTGTGAGACACACAATGAAAATGAATATCCACATCACGAGACCCATTCTTGAAATGTGGAATAGTTTACCTGTGAGATGTCGAACGGTTCTTCCATCGTACTTTGCATATAATTTCGCAAAGCTCTCTCAAGACTGGGTATCGACAGAAGAGGTGGCTGTATCAGAGATAGATGAGTCGGGCCGTATTGTTCCTGAAGGACGGCGCAATAGTAAGCTGCGCGATCTCGAACCTCATCGTCCGAGTCCAGTTGACAGCGAGACAGGAGAACTAAAACGTTCGGCAGTAACGGCGGACAAGTCGCGGCGAAATGTCCCAACGCCGTGACCGCTGCTGCGCGTACGCTCGCAGTCTCCAGGATCACGCGATTGTAGATGAACCGGATGTACCGGGACGGTTGCTTAGAAGTCGATCCTTCCACGCCGAGCAAGTGAAGAATGCGAACCGCGAGAGAAACGTGCTCGCAGTCCTCGATGAACTCGCACAGATGAGCCAAACCAGCTTCTTTAGCCTCAGCATTCACTTCCATCACAGCGATTATCGTATCTGCGATTGCGGTTTTATACTCGGGTCCTCCCTCGTCTCTTAGCATAGCAGAGAGGAAGTTCATCAGGACCGCGTGTTTCCGAGGGAATTTTTGACAAAGAGCTCTATAAAATATAATTTGTTACATTGCGACTATATTATAGTCTTATAATATTGGTTCAAAGTGTAGTTTAAAATCTTTGAAATATAAGATTTAATCTTTGAAATATAAGATTTTAAACTACACTTTGAACCAATATTATAAGACTATAATATATTCGCAATGTAACAAATTATACCTTATAGCTTGGACAACTACGACCTTAAATTCGTCTGAAATCTCAGAGACGAACGTGGCAATTTGCTTCATCAGTCGATCTACGGAACTCTCCGCTCCCGTCTTCAACAGAGTAGTAATCGCCAAAGTAGCTATAGATCTGTTCGAATCAGTGATTAAATTCTCCAAATCCAGATTACAAGCAGTCACCACTCCAGGGTGTGTCATAGCGACTTTATTCAACGTTCGAACAGCAGCGAATCTGTGCGCTGGCCTCTGAGACCCACAAAATAATTGAAGAACGCTGATAGCAGGTGTGATCTCTTTCGTACCGACCCTGCCTAGGTTGAACCAAGCGTGCGCCGCTTCGTAAACGACTATTTCCGATTTGTGACGCAAACAAGACGAAATAAATCCTAGCAGCTCCTCGTCGTCGTCGACTTCATCTAATATTTTACACGCCATTCGTATTAACATGCACGCAGCGTAAGGGCTTTTGGGACTCGTTCTCGTAAGCTTTGAGACTAACTTAATTACAGCGTGTTTGTCCGTCTTGCGGGCCTGATACAGAAGGCCGAGAGCGTGGTATTGAACCATTACATTGCTCGAATTTAATGCCTCTTGAGCCTCGTTTGCCCATCTGCGTGCGACGTCCCCAGATACGCGACTCAGATGCAAGGAAGACACTAAGGCTGCACTAGACACAGCAGGGGATCGATCTACAATAGCCTGTTTCATATAACGTTCGATAGCTGCTACCATTCCACCGTCTGTGATGGTGCACAGTGCTCTTATCGCCGCAGCTCTGTAGAGATCTCCTTTTCCAGTCATATCTTTCGTCAAACATGAAGTGACTATAATCACATCTTCTGCTAAGGAGCTCAGCTCTTTGATGCCTAAATAGACCAATCTTCTGAGGACTATATCTCTGCATTGGAACAGCTTGGTCATGGCAAAGAACACTTCGGTCGCCTCCATGGTGCTCAGCTGCTCGCTCTGGTTCAGCAGGTACAAAATTTTCGTGAGTATGTGCGCGCATTTCCTTGGATTCACTGGAGTGTCATTGAATGTACGGGCCTCCTGGAGGACCGTCGTCTTCTCCAGATTTTGAAAAGGGTTTCCCCCACCTGGTTTTTAACAGAGAAACACATGTAGTCGAACGAGGGGACCATTCGCGATTACGAGTATCGAACGTGTTCGAAAGATAAATTCACAACAGCGTAAATACGTAATCGGAGAAAATAGAAATCAAGTTACGTGAAATAAAACGAGAATTCATTGAAGGGAAATTATCGTCAGCCACGAGCAGTCGTCTAAACCTGTTTACAATGAACTGTCACAAGAATAATCCAATTGTTTAATATCGAAACGTAAGTTTATGGTAGTGTGAATGGGACGATGTCTACTTATGATTACCATCTTCTTCCTCCTTTTTATCGCGTTTAAATGCATTCATCGTGTGAAAACCACTGCCGGGAAACTGGGAAATAGGAGACACGTCACCTCAACTCTTTCGTGTGGGAACCATTTGCAATGGCCTTTCTTCGCTGTATGCGAACGGTGAAATCACGAAACGTCTGATCCACGCGGTTCGACGACTAACATTCTCTGTCGCTGGTAAAAGCGTTGTCTCTCGTGATTCATGCAGTAAGGCATTTCGAAATCTTTAGGACGATGTAAATAATTAAATATGCGCATTGACAGGCATCTTTCCACCTTTAATAATTAATAGAAATGTTCGATAGTTTTGCAGTTTTGAAAATTGGGAATTATTGTTGGATGGAATTGTTCGACCGTTAGATGGCTCTATTATGGTCTTCCAAGCTCTCAAATTAAAATAAGGAACTTGTAATAATTGTAGTAATTATAACAATTGTATGGTATTATGTAGACGAAGCCAAAACACTCTTTGCTGAGATAAATTTAGTCTTTAGAATTCGCAAATTCTTAATCGATTCATGATGTAAAATGAAGTAAGGTGTGATCACGCGCATCATTGCAAATTAACCAATGATACTGCCAGAGAGGAGTTCCTCTCTGATACTGCCATCCCGAAATCATCCATATTGAAGTCTTAGCCAATTAGAATGCGACAGAAAAGAATTGAAATTTAAGACCAACACAATAAACCAGATGACATTAACTGAAAATTAATGTGGAAGATAGACTATAAGTCTACTATTAATAGATCTACTTATAAATTCATTCTGTGATTTAACGTACTTGTTCTCAATCTTTATTTATTAAGTTTTAAAAAATGATAGGACAGAAAGAAACACGACTGGTATTCTATATTCCTTTTTATTTCTACAATATCAGCATTAGTATCGTATTCTTTATCAGTAGTATATATTTATAATACAAACACAAATGAACACAACCAAGTATAATCGTAGACAGCGATTTAATTACCCATCGGACTAAAATTATGTAGTTTTAGTATCAACCTATTATAGCCCTTGTAAAAATGAAACCCCTCACAGGACAGACACATTTTTCTACAATTTTCTAGTGGCGCTTGTAAAATCCTTTGGCACAAACAATTATGTACTTAATTAATTTTTATTACTTTCACCAAAATTTTACGGCAATTCACTTTTTCTAATATCTTTTGGTCTGTACAATTTTTTCAAGTCAGAGATCGTTGCTTCTTCGTTCGATTCTGGGGGCTTCCCTATCCTCTGCATAATCTGTGTTTTCGCGGTTTTCTCACTGGATGCGTCTTCTAGAAATAGATGATCTTCGGATTTAACCATGTCCTTGCTCCACTTCGTTAACCAGTCACTTGCTGCAGTCTAAAACAAATTTTATCCATTTATAAAGAAAATTGTATGTGATAAATCATGCGATCATTGATAATACTTGAAATTTGATTAAATTAACAATGCTTGAACAATTATTCACATTCCTTCAAGCTTTTAACGATTTACCTTCTTGTCGTCATTATCCACTGGTGACACAAGTTTCTCTTCTTTCTTTAATCTCTCCAATTCTCTTTGCAATTTCCGTTCTATTTGGTACTTGGCCACCGCCTGAGCAAGTGGGCCCAGTTCTCCTTTCATTGCGGACACGAGCATCGCCTATATAAAATGCCCATTGCATCCACAGTCATTTTATTCTATTTCTAATTAATAAATATAGCTAATCAATAAAATGAATACTACAGTGCAAAAGTTCTTGTCTGAATTGAAATTATGATACAAACGTTTACATTTTATATTAGAAATTATGCATTAAAAATTCCTTACGACTGAGAAAAACAGATCGAACAATTTTATAAACTTTACTCTTCTGTAATTATTATTTTTTCTAAAAGTTCATTGTCTCAAATATTAGACACAACCTTAAGGATATTTGAATACTATAAATATAGAAGATATCTCTTATCGGAGTTCGTGCGAAGAGTTTCATAAAGAAATGCAAAATCGCTTACGTCTCGACGCCTCTTGGAGTCAGCATTGCCGATGGGCTCGGTCTCCATTTGTGGTCCCAGCTCTAACAGTACTTGAAAATCCGCGTGCTCGCCGAGACGAAAACCAATGCCGATCCTCGAGTCGGTACCTGTCCGCGAGAGCGAGAGCCAATTAGAGAAAATGAAAGACCGATTCGACTAGTTTAGCTCCGATTGAGGCGCGACGAGAAACACGTGCGACCAGTGAAAGTAGTGTTTGCGTGACGCTGATAGTAACAGAACCGGAGAAACAGTTTTGCACGTTGCTAAATTATTTACTTAGATACGTGCAAAATCGAAGTTTCTTATGCAGTTTACCTTTTTTTATCGGTGGGATGTTCGAGTAGATTAAAGATAGAATAGTGGGCAATTCCTCCGGGATGATGAAACAAGTTGCATCTGAAATTCACAACATCCGATCTATCGATCATCCTATTTATCACATTGTAACAACTGTGCAGAGTACGCTAATGTTCAACAAAAAATACTTCGTCAATATTTTAGCCGGGATGTTAATTATGAACGTAGAAATTAAATCAGAACAAGATATAAGATCACTGATAATTTTACAAACAGAAGAGATATCTGTGGCTCTTCAACTTAAAGTAGCAATGGAACTCCTTGTGCAATCAGTTACAGGAATTCATTTTAATGTGGAATTTGAACCTTGCGACATAGAAAGATATCTAGTTTTGATGAAAGTAGGCGAAGGACGCTATCAGTATAAACCACTTACATTCGTAAAGAAGCAGTAGGATGCACAATTTCGCCAACATGCTCATCGATTTCGACATCTTCTTATTAATCCAGTTGAAACTTTCCTTATTCAAGATTCCAACAATCGCATGATTTAGTACATTGAATTTTATCTATAAATGCATTAAATTCAGAAATTAATAATCTAACTGCGAATTTGTATGCAAGACATTCGTGGTCTCATTTTAAAATATGCATTCAAAATGGACATCTCATTTATTATTTAAATATTAAAGTCACTCATGCTTCGACATTATTATATTTTATATTCGAGGTGGAGTAGATAAGAAAACTGGTTATAAACGAGAAAAAAGGAACTAAATAGGTTTATTGCTAGAAGTATAACATATAGCATTAAGAAGGTAATATCATTAGATATAATAGGTTTCGTTACATATTATTGTTAGATTTATTTCATTAGACATATGGTGAGAATGAATGACTATGCGTGAAAGATTAGTGATAAGAAGAATATTTTGTTCATAAACAAATCCTTTCTCAAGGCCGACAAGCAGAAAGTGAAATATGTATATATTCTATACTACTTTCACTGTCGATACAATTTTTCTATAATGCATAAAATCCGGTGTCTACTTAAAAGACTAAATATTTACACAGCCAGTAACAATGTAATTTTAAATTATTTAATAGCGATTGATTTTATTATAAATTCAAACAGGAATATATTTTGATTTAGATTTGATCAGAATACAAAGATACATTAATTTAATGATCTCCATCGCACAGTGCATGTTTTGTTAAAACCATGTTACACAAATTATTGTATATGATACTTTATATTCACTGTCAACATAATTTTTCTATAAATGCATAAAATCGGCAGTCTATTAATAGTTAATCAATCCTTATCGAGTTCACAGTCTTCTTATTTTAAAATTTATGCATCTGATACATTAGAAATCGTTTAGAAACTCTTAGCACAACTCGAACTACGTAGATCGATGAATGAAATTTGAGAATTCAGCACACCGCGTTGGTTGAAATCGAAGGACGATAAACTCACCAGCTGTACGGGATCGCGGAAGCGTTCACCAAGCAGACGTACCTGCTTCCATGAAAGTGAAATCTAAATATCGGTCTGACGACGAACGAGGCGGTCTACTCGAGCTGACTGAGGCCTCGTCGTTTGAATGCAATCGCTCGGCGTGCGAGAAAGAGCTCTCGAAAGAAGTGGCCAAGTGAAAGGAGACGTCGGATCGGGGATCGAGGTCACCGGTGTTCGAACCGTGCGTCGATGGTTCGGCGGGGTTGGATGAACTCTCTCGACACATTTCCCCTTCCTGATTATCCATACGAATTTTTTCACGAATTTCCGGATCCACCAATTTTTAATAAATAAAGAAAATAATTAAAGAGCTCGGAATTTTTATTTGACCTTCACTTACAATAATATCATTAATGATTTGATGGAAGATGGTTGATATAATTAAGTAGAGGACGGATTATTATGTACTATAAAATATATATGTTACCGGGAATGTAGGAATAGAATGCCTAGCTAAGCAACATGTACAGTATGTCTGGCATTTTTGAGCAGATTATGAAACTACTACAACTTTTTATGTAACATGAAAAAGAAGAAGAAATTAATTTATAGCACGCACGTTGCTTCGCCAATATGTTGCATGTTCAAATTTCAGTCCACTCATGTCCCTTGCAATTATATTAATTATTACCATCAAGAGTAGTTTGTCAAACACGTAAGTGAATTACTGCTAACTTCGCGGACGACCTTCCATCAAGTCATGCATAAATTAACATATCGCGATGATTTATTGGAACGTGCGTTTAAATTAGTAGTTACATAGATGGTATGAGTGTTCATTGAAATTAACGGCGCTGAAAAGTTCTTCACTTTGTTATGTGAACGGTACCGCTGATAGAAAACGTGTTCGCACGCGTGATAGCACGCGCGTTATCAGTCGTAACCCACAGTTTCCTAAGTTCAGGTCTGCCTGCGCGTAACGGTGCAGCCCAGTAAAATGTATACTAACAATACTCGGATTCTTTTGTTGAAAAAGAGTCGTCGATTCACAAAATTGAATAACAGCACAGGTTCATTATCCTTTGATACCAGAATTGAATAGAAATTTATATCAATAAAATTTGCAAATAAATTTAGTCGAATTACCATTAATCGGACGTGACTAAACAGTGTTGAAATTATCGGTACTATGGTGCTATAAAAATCAAACTAGGAGTGAATTTATTTGGAAACGTAAGGAAACATTTTGGGAACAGTTTAATTATAATAGTTTTTAAAGCATTTCTGGTAATCTCTCGGTGTAAGGACAGGACGTGACAAAAGGATAATCAAATGCAAAGCCGTACCGCCAACTACCGGCCAAGCGAGCAGCGTCGTCGATGGAGAGGGGCAATAGTAGATAGCATATTGCTCGTTACTGGCTCTATGCAACCATCCACGTTTGTCGTTCGCCGGAGTTTACGTACGGTGCATCGACGGTTCCCGAGAGAAGGACCGAGCGATCGGAACTCGGCAATGCCACCTGATTCACCGTGAGACCTGATCATGGGACTTTATCGCGGTCGAGCGCGAGTATCCACCGTCGAGCAGCGAGTTCGACGAAGTTACCGGAAGTTCTACCGAAACGGAAGTGGATAGCGTTCTGTGGTGAACAGTTTTGCATTTAATCGAAAAAACAAGATCGAAGGTTTGCAATTAAATAGAAGGATAGACTGTTTGAAAGCGAAGAACGTGGGACGTCGCTGTCCATAGTCAACGTTGTTTGCCACTGGGTGCTGCTAAACCGACGACTTAAGATAAACGCTAATTAGACTTGGTATCAGCCATATGCCGTTTACGTGGTGCACTCGCTAAATTTACTTCCAACAGGTGCGTCGACGTAAGTGCCACCGAGTAAAAAAACAGAATCTCCACGTTTATTTTTCTGCCTCGCGGGAGACCCTTTGATAAAAAAAAAAATAGAAATAAAAGTGGTGGCTCCCGCGCGCAGAAAACGTCGCTTAATTCTCTCGTTCCTCGAGTCGTATTTATATTATCCGCATAATAATTCTAGTTTAAAGTATTCTTCAATTTTACGAGGAACGTTTATAAGAAAGAATGAGAATTGGTTTTTGATCGTTTCATACGTGAAAATGCATTTGCGATGATCTTCGGGTTGCAGTGAATGGTGAACGATGATTTCTTTGGCCCTTGGGGCCAGATCGTCCTCATCGTGGAGGTCGCGTCTGTCGCCCTCGTCGCCTTGCTGCTAATCGCTTGTTTCTGCACCCCAGGATGTCCCGGATACGAATACGTCAGAAAACGAAGTAAGCTCGTTACACTTGTAGCTCAATGAAAAACTGGGTATCTAATTGTTAATCGTATCACCGTATCAATGCAGTTAGCAAGCATTGCACTATTTATTATGTATCGTTTACTATGGCATAGTAATATTGAATAATACATTTATTTAAGGTTTTATGAGTACTTAAATAAAAACAATAACAAAGCATTCAAATTTTTACAGTTATTAGATATTGCATTAATAAAACAGTGTACATTTATTTAAGGTTTTATGAGTACTTAAATAAAAACAATAACAAAGCATTCAAATTTTTACAGTTATTAGATATTGCATTAATAAAACAGTGTGAAGAATTATAGAAATTGGGCGAGGCTATTAAAAAAGTTATTACTTGAATTTTGCGAGGCTATTAAAACTCCAATTCATGTTGTAAATAGCAAAATTTTTATTTCGAACTATTAAAAATATTGCGCAATCTACTCATTTTTTAACATTTAACATAGTTTTGAACATGGCAAATATTCTTTATATTACTAATAACTGTTAAAAATGCTTCGTCATTGTTTTTATTTAAGAAGTCATATAATCTTAATAACAATTCCCATTTTTTACACATTGCATACGTCATCAGTAAAAGAACATTTGTTTTTCTATTTTGAATTTATGAAATGCTAACGCGCGACCCATCACGCGTTTAGGTTTATTCGAACGTGCCTATGAGGGTTTTATCACCGCTGTAGTCTAAGCTCTCGCAAGGGGTTTGTGTTGATTAAACGCTGTCTGGAGGCTAAACCTAAGCCAGTAATATTTAATTTTCTCAACACGTTTACGAGCACTGCTTCCGCGCACACGTGCTCGTACCGCCGGAAAACGTGTTGAGAAAAACAATGGCGTGCGTACGCCACGCTGAACGCACTTCAACTTCCTAATGTCTAGATAATCGTCAGTTCTTTTATTCATAAAAAATGCGAAAAAACTCTTATTTAACAAACATTGTATATCTTTTGTGCGCTGCCTTTTTTATCTTTACACTCGTGTAAAAGACACTTACTGCCACCTACACAATTACTGTCACTAAATTGTTTTTCTTCAAATAACAAATAAACGTTATGAAGTCACATGTACAAAAAATTCTGCCTTCAATTACAACTGTACTTAATATAATAGAAAAAGCAGCACTTCATTTATTTTATAATTATATTTAAATTTTGTGTTAATATAAAACAGACGAATGTATTATTTTATGAAAATATTGTAAATTATTTTACTTCGATGCAGTCTCCCCTATTTGATCAAATAAATATGATCTTCCATGGAAAAAAGGTCCCCCATCTCTGGCATAGTATGCTAAGATTATTTTAGTCCATGCATGCGATATTTCTTATTGACTCAGCCAGCGTAATTTGGTAAGCACAGTTTCTTTGTCTGGAACGAAATGAGATTTATCCAACATGGTATTCCCTCGAAAGGAAGGAAACTTGGATTCTTGTATCATGAATCGCGTGTACACATATACGGTTGATACGTTACGCCATTGTTTCGCGTAGTTATATTTATACACACATTCAAACGACGTTTTCTTCGTTTCCTTCGCGATGTTACGTAATTAGGTATGTCATCCTGCGAAGCTAACTGCACACAGCCGATAGGAAAACGCCCATACGCGCCTATCGTTTCATAAACTCCGCAGAATCTTCTTTCGTTTAAAACTCGAATCCCATTTCTTATAGCGATTTCACTGCTTATAATAAATTTCCCAGTTTTGTTCATGCCACAACATACATGTACTTTATTTTTTTGTATTTTATTTTGAAAACTTTACAAGTAATTAAAAATGCAGAAAAACTTGTTGCCTCAAATGTTAAATTATTTCTAAAAATAATTACGTGTGAGATGAACGAAATCTACTTGTGCCTGGTTTGAAAGACTTTCGAATCGTTTCGTCAGACACAAGTCGAAACGAGGACTCGATTTGTATACGTTAACTAAAGCGCGTAATTAGCGAGTAAAGCGGATCTCTGAGCCTCCGGTGGCCTAGTCGCGGTTGTTACAAATTGTGTAATCCATGAATAAATCGTTACCGCAGGGAGGGAGGTAAAAAGCGTGCCGTTACGTGTCAAGAGCAAACAGAATGAAAACGTGAAGCTGAACGACGTCAGCTACAGATCATGGAGATTGGGTAGCCTCTACGAAAACAGCAGCAATGGTATCGTTACGAGTAATCTTGACTTTTCCATTCCATTTTACATCGTCACTTCGTTCAATTTCATTAAATTATGTAGCTACGATCAACGAGAACGTCGAAGTGAATTCCTGGAATTCCAGCAGTCCTCAGCTCGGTTTCGCCGACACCTCATCGACGCTGGTGAGTCGTCTCGTCAGTAAATGTAAAAAATGTTTGCCGTGTTCATGAATATATAAAATATTAGGAGATAATATTTACATGACAAAAGAAATGTCTCTCTCTCTACTCAGCATATCCTCTTAACTGATATCATGAATGTTTTATTTTGCATAAAAATCTGCTGTCTACTTGTATTCATATTTATTTGGTCATATGTCGCAGAATTTGGTGCAAAAAGATAAAGTGAAGGAGAAGAAGCAGAAAGAATTCCCAACGGAGTTGACGATTAGTTTGCAGTATCTACCACCCTGCGACGAGATCACCGGGAAGCTTGCCATTGGCATCGAGGTGATAGCCTCGTTTATTTAATGAAAATCTCTGATAATAAATATGAAGGAAAAACTGCGATTGCTTGCACAGCCCAACAAAAGACAAAAGTAGATGTAAAAAAAATGTGTGTTGTACAGTTTTATTGAAACTGCATAATTACTGTAGGATTTAATAACGATTCTATGTAATAGCCAGTCGCGAAACGACCATTTGTATGGAGTTACGTAATTATTAGGTTGTAGCTGTCTATATAAAGAGTTCAATACTGTGCAGGCGTTATCCGGCCTTCCACCAAAGCAATACAACTGCACCCTGGAGCCGTATGTGGCACTGAACATCGTGAAGCAGTCGTGGAGCCACAGGAAACGGCAGAAATTGCACAGCTTCCGCACGAGAGGCGTCAGGCACACGGCGAGTCCCATTTTCAAGGAGACGTTCGTCGTCGCAAACGTAAAGTCTCAGGAAGCTAAGGTATAGACGCCTTATTGCTGTCACGCTTCATTATGATGTCTAACTCAAGGTTGCAAAACACGTCGCACATGCAAGATCTAAGAATGCATGCAAAATTAGATGCTATAATTATAAGTGAAGAAGTAAGATTGAAATCTGAATAGAATTGGCTTAGATGATCCGTTTTTATGTTTTTCTATGTAGGATTGGATTCTCAATTTCGCGGCGTACGATCACGACAGATACGCAAACGATACGGAATTATGCAATTTGCAAGTATCGTTGAAAGAAGTGAGACGCGTTCTGCAGAGTCCGGAAATTCACATGTTCAATTTTGGAATGTCGCCATCGAATGTGGTACGTGTCCGTCGCTGAACTTTCTGCACATTTTATTTATTATTTGAAAATTATCTATAAAACTTGCAACACGATAGAACAAAAGAACATAAATTCCATTTACCACTGCTATTAATATTGGATTGGCAACGAAGTAATTTCGGGTTTCACAAAACCCGAATTCCTTGATTTATCAAGAAGAAAACATTTTGATTGCAGGAATATGGAAAAATTTTATTAGGAATAAGTTACTTGCCCACAGCTCAGAGACTGACTATAAACATTATGAGAGCGCGCGATATCAAGTTCATGCCAACGGTACCGAGTTTACAAGAGTTTCGTAAGTACGACGTTTAATTAATCTTCTGCGGAGAATTAAATTAATATTTCATTCTCGCTTGCAGATCCTTACGTGAGGATACTGATGATCCACGGGAGAACGGGGCAACGAATGAAAAAGAAAAAAACGAAACACGTCGCAGGTAGTTTGCAGCCGGAGTTCAATGAAACCTTGACGTTCGACGTATCCTACAATCAACTAGACATCACGCAATTTCTCGTGGTGCTCTGCAGCAAAGTATGTATAGTTTGCGGGCGTTAACCCTTAGACTGCTTTCGCTCGTCAACTGGCGGCGAAGAAAGTCTCAAATCGTTCTCTCTAGACGATTTTACTATTATTAGGAATCGTTTTAGGCTACACCTATCGAAATGAGTACCATCGAACATCCGAGCGACAGCGAGGATTCGGTAACGTCGGTTCAGAGGTCGAGAGACTCTTACATCGGTAAAGTCGCGCTTGGAAAAGGAGTGAGAGGCTCCACTGAGAGACTACACTGGTTTTCCGTACTCCAGAATCCCAGGAAGCTCGTTACCGTCTGGCACGTGTTAAAATAATTATCGAAACTTTATCACGCTTTCAGCGTTGTCCGAGGGGCAGTTAAGGGAACTGCAAATAGTGAAAAAATGAACGTTATTGCTCATGTACGCTCGGTAACGACTATTCCGCAGGCTGTAATGTTCTACGACGTGCTATTAGCGTTTTCAGTGTATTAGATGTTTCCACTCGATTAAAGACAATTATGTTTACGATAATAGTACAATAGCCGTGCAGTGCCATAAGATAGACAAGTGGAACTTCCGTGAGGATCGTTTACAGGGTCAATTCCAATGTACCTGAATCTAGAATCTCTTTTTCTAAAACATGCTTCTTAAGCGCAGCTTATATTGAGCAATAACGTTTGATGATAAAAGATTACAACCAAAGATTGTGAATATCGTGTTGAATGTTATTTAAAATATGTACTGAAATAAATATATTTACGTTCCTAACTGTTACAATCACTGTGTGGAAGTCGTCGAAAGATTTTTTAAGCCATGTAGTCGGTATTGTATTGACTACTGGGAATAGCTTAGCTACACGTCTAATGTATAAACGCGAGCACATGTACGCGCGATTCTAGGAAATCCGAATATATGGACAAGCCCTATCCCAATCCGTGGCCATATATACGGAGGTTACCGCGAATCGTGAAGTATGAATTTAAAATATGGCGCGCGATTACGTCGGGAATAGTAAGTTGCACGTCGGGCGGTAGAGGGCAGTCGACGCGCCGGTTTGTCTCGTCAGTCTCCGTAGCTCGTAGCAACGGGAAAGAGAAGGGGGCCCCAGCCCGTAGTCCCCGGCCAGTCAGCTTCAGTCTGTTTTGTGACTTGTGAGTGTGTTGTGTTCGTCTCTGTCGTGTTTCAGTGTCATTCAGTTTTTCCTTTTATTATATTTTCCCGTCGCGAGTTCAGTTGTACCGCCTCGAGAAGAGTGTACCCGTGCACGAGGACGCCGAACGTTCGTCGAATGGTGAGTTACAATACCGATTCATTCCTATCGAACGTTCTCCGCGAAGTCTCCTGCGAGCCAGAGACCGTTACGCTGGAAATTGTAACCTCCAAAGGTGTTCGATGCTCTTCCACGTAGATTGATATTTTATCCTTTCTGATATTATCTCTGAGATCAAATGCGTCGCGTTATCGGGCCGATCGACCTTCGGTCGGAACGACCGGCTTCCTAGTCCGGGAGAAGCAAAGTATCGGAACCGCGGCTAATGTCAACGGTTTTTGAATATCGTCCAATAGCAACGCTCGGATGCTCCGTTCAGGATGCTTGAACGAACTTTACGAGATCCTTCGAGGCTCCGATTCAGTTTTCTCAACGAATTTTCCTGGTATCGAAATCCTGTTTCAGGGTTGTCTGTTCACGTGCCGCGCTGTTGGACCAAAAAAAAAGGGAAACAAAAATGTAGACTACCTGCCGCGTGCCGGTCGATTCTCGACGGAATCAAGTTCGACCTGTCCGTCCGTTAGTCACGTCGTCGCCACCCTCTCTCGTCTTGGAACAAAGCGTTTCGTGGTCCGCCTCGAGCATTCTTCGCAACCTTCGGAAAGAACCTTTCCGTTCGTTTTACTTCCCGCCATATCGTTCCGCGTACATATACAATTTCGGGGTAATCTCGATCAGGCATCTGAGATCGATGTCGGCAATAATCACAGGCCACGGAGAGAGTTACGAAATAATCGGATGTCGTTATCGAAACTGCGTGGGTCAGTTAACGCGCTTAACATGCATTGCTATACCGTTGCACGAGCTATCACCTTGTCACAGCGGCTCGCGCATATGTTGTCGCAGATGCTATTCGATTACGCGGAGGGTCTTGGCTGTGAATTATCCTCAAGTACATAAATTACACGCTTGTAAGTGGAACATCACCGGTCTGCCACACGTAATTCGATGTGCGCGTAGTATTTTTTCGAATATTATAGGAAACATTCGGCTTGCTGAATCAGTGTTCGCTTCTGTTTATTTGTCATTCACGTTCGGCAAGACCTGTCGGTAGACGGTTCGATGTAATCAATCGGCGACGGCAGGTGGGGAAGGGAGGTACGCGTCGAGTTTTCCCAGAACCAGTGCATATTTTTTCTGGCGGCGAACTAAACAATCCGGTACTGGGTTCATTGTCATGCAAATGATTTTTGCGCAATCCCGAGACAAAGTCTGCTGGCAGACGTGGACGTGCGCCGGTTGTTAGATGCACGTGCATGGGAAAGGGTTCCGGAATGTCCAACCGTCCTTTCTCCGCGTACGTATTTGGATCCTTTCTCAATCATTCTCATTTCTAAGCTTTGTTCTCTTAAAGTGTTGCTCCATTTGATAAAATCTGTTTTATCGTTATGACTGAAGCAATGATAAGTTTTTTACTTGTACACATACTACGATTTCCATTAATATTCGGAGATATTTCAAAACGGAATCACTTTTAATATTGGTTCGAACAATTCAATTTTCTGTGGGATGTTACAAGGCTTTGTTTACAAAAATAAAAAAATTGTTATTCGTCAAAGTCTCGAATAAAAAAGCAAAGGGATGGTTAACTCTTTTATTAGGGTGTCTACTACAAAAATCAGTGAAAGCATAACATTGAGCATTGGCCTTCCTCCAGATACCTACTTTATATTGAATTAAAATAGAGAATCATGTGTTTTCAGTTTCTTTATGTACGGGATGGGGTAGAGTCGCGTGACTCTCGGATGATGCACCGGGATTCGCGTGTTTCTCGACTGGCAAGGGTTTGCAAACGAAAATAAAAATAGTGGCCTGAAAATAGTCTGTCTCCTAAATACCATCGAACAATGATTGGCGCGATCGTCGCTCAAGAGCGTCACCGTTGCTATTTCGAACGGTGGCATGAAAAAATAATGTTTATTTGGGTTACGCAAAGAAAGGACGAAAAACCGCGGCTCTCTTAATCGTCGCCACAGCTGCATCCGGCGGCGCACGGTTCAATTAACTTTTCTGGTTAAATTGTCGCTGGTCCAGACTATTTAATCGAATCGCAAATTGCCCCGCAGACAGGAATTATTTATTTATGTGTGGATAATTTGAACTTTGTGTTCATTCGAATTTTATCCCGTGAATATCCGAGTGAATTTAATTACAATTTTAATTTTTCATTTTTAGGATTTCCATTAAGTTTCGCGGAATAGCGTGCGTGAAAAATAATGTTTCGGTCATTGCGAATTCGTGTCACAGATCTCATCTATCATATTTTTAATCCAGAGATTTTCTGACACGAGATGAAACTCGTTTTTACAGATCGTTTAACTCGAACGCTTATCCCCGGGCGTGCGACATTTTAATTATACGCTTAGCAGATATAAAAGTTGTTTTGAAGTGGTTGTTGCTCAAAGTCGATTCTCGAAGGGTTTGGTTGGGTTTCCAAGTACGAGGCGTATACAGAAAAGAAAGGCAGTAATTTATTTCCAAATCATGTAACGTTTCTTGCATTCTACATGTACATATACTATATGATTGGCTACTTCTATGTATACATAGTTTCCACCCTATCTTCTACTCTAGAATCAAAGATAAATAAGGCCGCAGCTTCGCCATTTCTAGTCTAAGTTGTACGATCGAAGATGATCGAGTTGTTTCTAATCAAATGACTTAATTAAATTTTCATATCCATCGCCTTTTCAGTGAATCATTCATAGCATGTTCCCCATACACTTAGCAAAGTTGACGATGAATATCTGGCGGTTTCACATTTCTTGCATTCAAGAAACGGATAGCAGATCGCATCTTACAAACGGCGGGCTTCTCGATTTTCTTACTCACGCACAACAATCCGTAAACACGATCTGGTATCAAAGTTGCATCTGTGGCTTACCAATAAACAAAGGAACATGTGCGCAACTGCGGTTCCAATACTGCTACCTGTTAACACTTTCTGCTGGGTATGCCTCGCATTTCGGAATGCAGCATTTTATCGATAGACAGATAAAGGTAAAGAAATTGCTGATACTCAACTGGGTCGACGGGCAGGTTGTTTAGAATGCAGTTTCGTAGGCAGTTAGCCTGCATTCTGTACGATCTATAAATATGCACTTTGTGCCATTATCGTGTAACAGTAGATTCCTGCAAAAGCGTCCAATCACCTTACAACTGTTACGTGCAAAAAATGAATTTACTGTACTCTCGTGCATACGCATTTTCGCTGCGAGGATAATTGATAATTCCCGTTGCGAATCAAGCAAATCTTCCGAGTACTGACAATGACTTTTCTCGTTTCATTATTTACCAATAAAACTCAGATTCCTTTCATCTATCTAGAGAGATTAACTTTATAATTAGTAGAGACGCACTGATAACTAACTGAAGATTCGCTTTTCTTATCTCGTGATTCCCTGGGAAAGTTCAAGTGATACTGGAAGAACTAGTTTCGCAGTAAAGATATTGTAGCTGCAGATACGTGATACAAAGCGAGTTCCTTTTTCGTTCTCGTGGGGTTTCCCTAGTCCTTGAATTTCCTTTTCATCGTTAGATGGAAGCCACCACATAGTTTTCTCGTAGAAAGTTACGAGAGCTGCCAAAGAATATTCCCCTTACGGTAATTCTCTGCTCGGTCGCGTTAGGGGATGTAAAGTCAATACCGGTTTCTTTCTTTCGAATTTCACGCTGTTCTCGTCTCGTACATACCTGCATCACGTTCCATTTTAACGAGGAAACGTGCTCGTGCTCTTAACGAATCTTCAATAGGAAATTCGTCTACGTACACAGTTTTATAGAAACGGTAAATTCAATGTTTCTTGGATAGAAATGATATTCATTTGGATTTATTAAATTATATCTGCTTTTTTTATACATTTCTTGTTTATTTAGAAGTGCGAATTTATTTACACATTTAATATCGTTTAGAATA